GACATTTATCATTTGAAATGAACAGCTTTGCACCCTCCTACAAGTAGTAAGGGCTGCTGTACTCCCTTTCTAGTGATGAAAAAGCAGCTGTCTCTGGATTGCTTCAGACCTGGTTTTGAAACTCCCAGTTCCTCCACATACAAAAGATCCTGAACCTCCTTTTATTTAAAAAAGAAAAAAGAAGAAGAAAAGAAAAAAGAGGGGAAGGGAACAGGAGTGGATGGGGGAGGAAAGGAGGTGGAGAGGGAGGATGGACAAAACAGACTGTCATTCATCTCTTCGGAAACATGCCCAGCCTCTCGCTGCCCTGGGATGAGGATCACACTCATAGGCCTTGCTCTTTTCAGATGTGCCCTGCCCACAGCAGATGCCTATTCATTCTCTTGGTGATGGCAATAGCTTTCAGGAACACTCCCTCTCCCATCTGTGCAGATGAACACCCTGGATGATTCTATTTCAGTGTGGGTTTGGGAAGGAGTCAGGCATCCAGACAGGAGACTGGACACATCCATGTGGCTGGGGCTCAGGAAATTATCACCAGGAGATAGCGGAGCATGGAGGGAGGAAGCACAGGTCAGGGAGTCAGACAGCCCTGTATCTGAATTCCTGCTTGCCATTTAACGACTCAGTAGCCTTGGCAAAGTTACCTAGCCTCTCTGAGCCTCAGTTTCCTCATCTACAAAATGGGCCTTATTTTACTTCTCAGGGTGCTTGTAAGGATTCTATGAGACAAGAATGATAAACCACATGGCATGATGCCTGGCTCGGTTAGGGCCAGAGAGAGATAATAGCCCCTTCCTCCCTCTAAATGAAGCATCAATTTACCACTGACCTTAAACACCACAGGGGCAGGGGACTCCTCTACCAAGCTCAGAGCCGCTTTCCCAATGCTCAGCACCGTGTCTGGCACATGATATACAATAAGCATTTGTTGGATGCATGAATACATGAATTCCTGGTGGCCTGGGGCTGTAGCAGAGGTGGGCAAGGTGGTAAGCCAGGCTGTCAACTGCCCAGGTTAAATACCTCTGCAGATTCCAGGAAACCCAGTTAATAGAACTAACCAGCCTCCTTTTTGTTGGTCTCTGCCTTTGAAGTCACACACTGCTATAAACCAGGCACCTAAGCAAGTCCCCTAAACTACTCCACCTCCTTCCCCTACTCCCTTCTCTGCCCGTCTTGGGAGAGTGTAGAGAAGTTCAAGTATGTGTGTGACTGACGTTCTGAAATATCAGAGTAGCCAGGCAAATCTGAGGCATCACTCAGATGACGTGGGTCCTTCTCTGTTCACATGCCCTGCCCAAGGGAGTCTTTGTGGCCAGAGGGGGGAGATGTGGAGGACAGAGGACCCCGGGGCAGAACTAGGAGGGAGAGGGAAGGAGCCTGCGCTTCTGTCGTTAACAAGTCTGAAACCTCTGAACCTCAGTTTCCTAGTCTGTGAAAAGAAGGTCTTAAATCCATCTTGCAGCATGAATGAGGACTGCGAAGCAGCAGCCAGCATCCTGCTTGACACATCGCAGCTGATCCATATAATCGGGGCTACTGAAAAAACAAAACCCCAGCTACGATATTAGCTGCGGAGGAAGGGAGCAGTCTAAGGCTGTGAAAGACTTGTGTGGAAGAAGCGCTCCATGTGGGCCTCATCTCAGCATCCACTAGGGCAGCTCTGCTTTCGGACCTATCATCTTGCTCAAGGTATGGGGAATTTAGGAGGGTGATAATGTTTCCTCCAAACGGGTTCTCCTACTTTAAAGAAAAAGAAAAACACAGAAGTTTCAACACCACCGAAGTGAGTGATCTCCGAGGTCGCTCCAGCTCTAATATTCTCTGCACTTAAAACACGAAAATGAAAAACTCCCATTTGCAGGGTGGTTGGGGGGTGGAAGAGGGGTGGAGTTTATGACTAGGGGCGGGGCCCCGCTGGAGGGGCATGGGCGGGGCAGCCTGCAAGGGATTAGGAGCCTTAATTCCCCCGGTTGGGGCTGGAGAAGAAACCCTACCGCGCCAGAGCCCCCGCCCGGTGGGAAGGGGGCGTGTGAAGGGAGGATAAATATATAAAGTCGTCACACCCGCTCGCGCGCGCAGAGCCCCCGCAGTCTCGGCGCTGCGGCTGCGGCGGCCCAGCGGAGACAGCCCTTCCATCCCACCCACCTGCTGACACGCGGCTGCGGAGACAGAGAACCAGAGAACCGGCCGGGCCACCCACCTCCGCCCGCGCAATCCCGGAGACCCCCGGCTGGGGCCGTGGGCTACCCCTAACTGGGGCCGCCCCCACCCTGCTGTCAGCGGAGCGTTTCCCAGGGCTGAACAGCGGCTGAGGAGCACTCCTCCACCCCCAGCCCGGCGCCACTATACAGGCTCCAGTGCAGGACTTCCCAGAAGTGCCCAGGCACAGTTCACGGGGGCTGGAGAAGCTGAAAACGCCCCAGAACACTCCCGGGAGCCCCGAGAAATGTGGGATTCTCCTCTGGAGGGTGTGATTCTGGGAAGTGGGGAGCCAGGGCAAGGACTTCCGGCCCAGCCAGTGCGAGGGGCAGCGGCCTCCTTCCTCCTGCCAGACCCGACTCTCTAGCGTCGGGCACCCTTGCTCTGCCACGCGAATGGGGCAGAACCGGCGAGGGCGCTCTGGCCGTGTCCCTCCCCGAGCAGTGACCGCCAGTACGTTCGTAAAGGCCGGCCCGGGTTGCTCCTTTCCCCGCCCTCCGAGGCAGGTGGCCCTGCAAAGCCGCTGCCAGGTGCACCTCTCTCGGCCACCTCCAGGAAGGGCGCCCTCCTCCGGCACGGCCCGCCTCTTGCGTCTCTCACGGACTCTTCTCGCACCCCGCCCCCCATTCTGGGCACAGACTTGGAAGGAGGAAGGAGGGACCCCACCCTCCTGTGCTCTCCTCTGCGGAGAAGAGAGGGCTCCCGGCGGCCTCGGACCTCCCTCTGCACCCCAGAGGCTCAAAGTTTCCCATTCGCGATCCGGGTCTGCGCTCTTCCTTCATCCTGCGCAGCTGAGCTCGGAGGCCTCGCTGGCTCCCCCGGCCCAGATGCGCTCACCCTCAGCCACGCCAACCCCCGCCTCCCGCAGCCCGCAGAGGCGGGCAAAGGGATCGGAGGCGCCAGGATGCCGGGTCTGCTCTCCGCAGCCCGGCAGCCAGAAGAACGCTGCTCCCGGGTTCCAGGGAGAGCTCGCAGGGTGGGGTCCTGACGGAGCCAGGGTTTCCCACCAAGCCCTTCCCATCAGTCCTCTCCACCACCCTGCCTTGTCTCTCTGTTATGCGCATTCCCAGGAAAAGGGGTGCTTACCTTCGGTCCCCAACCTTCAACCCCCGCTCCCTGCAATGTCCAGGTGAGGGCTCCAGTGCCTTTCAACAAACCCAGTGCCCTCTCGGCGGCGCTGGAACCGGGACCTCCCCCATATAACCTTTCCCTCTAGAGGCATCCGAAGCCGGGAGCCCTCAACCCAAAGTTGAGGGGGTAGATTTTGATCCACTTTGGAAAGTCTCTTGTTCCAAGGATAGGGGAACAAAGTACAGGGTTTGCATTGCTTCTGGGTTACACCAACCCCTCCCCCCTCGCTGTCAGGACTACCTTCCAGGCTCAAATTCTGCAGCTTCTCCTATCAGCAGACCCAGCACTCCCCAAGGACTTCGGGGTAGAAGGAGTTGGGGTAATTTTTAAGGGGGCACCCCTTCCTAGCAGGCACTCTCGGAGCCTAAGCAGGCACCTCCTGCTGGGAGAAGGCTATGGCATAGGACAGAGGTGATGCCCACCTCTATCACCCAGTGGGGCTCGGGGTCGAGACCTTATCGATCATAAAGACGACTTTTTGGCACCTCGCGTCCCCCTCCCCCTCCGAGGCGGAGCCAGGCTCTGACTCCAGCCAGGCTGAGGTTGGCACCAGGCTTGGAGGAGGATCCCCGACGCGGACCCTCTAGTCTCGGTGCCCGCGGCTCTTCGCTGGTCCCGCCTCCCTCCCGCCTGGCTTTTAGCCTCGCGTTGGCTCTCCGCTCACTGCGCGAAAAGGTTTCGGCTCTGTCACCATTTAAGACCCACTACGCGGCTGCGCTGGACGGGAGGCCGGCCGCGAACCGCGGACCCTGGGGCTGCGGAGCCACCTCTCGCTGGCTCCGGAGAACCCGCTCAGCTTCAACCTCCTTCCAGCTGGCTTAGTCTAACCCGGGAGCAAGTCCACACGGGACACACACACACACACACACACACACACACACACACTGAGCTGCTCACAACTCCCCAGTCCCGGACGCGTCCATACCTCCCTGCACACAAGAACCACACGCTCCATGGCACGCATACACACACTCCCAGGCCCACAAAGCACACGACCCCCAGGCACCTCCACCCCCACCCATCCCAGATAAGCACACTCCTGCCCAAGTCCCGTCTCCTATGCACACAGAAATAGTAATCCGCTGTCGTACACCCCTAGAGACCTGCACATTCGGGACACGCGTGAAACGCCAAACCTCACATACCCACCCCCTAACACCTCACACCCACAATGACACAAGCTCACACACTTCACATCCTCACCGGGAAGCTGGCACATGTTCACACCCCCCCAACATTCTCTCACACTCTCACACATACACCTTCTCCATGTAACTGACACAGACACTCTAACACCCCTCCAGACACTCGCTCACTCACACACAGATCCCACACCGTCACACACACAGGCGCACACACACTTGCATCTCTAAATACACTCCCGCACCTTCTCCCCACATAGCTCCTTCCCGGACACCCTCACCCAGAGACACAACAAAGACACACGATTGTATACACACACACACACCCTGGCACAAACCCATGAGCGCTCTCCCCAGAGGCGTCCTCCCTCCCTCATCAAGCCAACCAGCTCCACAGACCCCAGGCAGGACCGGTGCTCGTAGCCCGAGCCTCTCGGAGCGACCCCAGCCCGCGCTCTCCCCCGGTGCCCCATCCCCGCGCGCGTTCCCCGCCCGGCACCCGCCAGGCGCCCGCGCACTCACCGCAAGCCAGGTCCAGGATCGCGGCGAGCAGCAGGCAGACGAAGCGGCGGAGGCTCGGGGCGGCTCGCATGGTGCCCGGGAGCTGGCTGCGGTGGCGGGGCGGCGGCGGTGGCGGCGGCGGTGGCGGGTCCCCTCGCCATGGGCTCAGACGCGCTCCTGCCTCCGGCCGCTGGCCGAGGCTGTGGCGGGCAGAGCGGAGCGCCGCGGGGGCGCCCCCATGCCGCCGCTGCCGGGCCGCCCAGGCGCCCGGCTCGACTCAGCTCCGGCTCTGCGAGGCGTAGCAGCCCTCGAGCTCTGGGCGTCCTCGGGGCGCGCCGCGGTTCTCGGCTCCCCGGCTGCGCGCGGTGCCCACCGCGGCCCGGAGTCGGATCGGCTGCAGCGCCGGAGTTTGGAGCTGAATCGCGCTCTCTCTGCCTCGCGCTCGCCTCTCCCGGCGGCAAGAGCACCCCGCTCCCCGCGCCCTCCCTCCGTCCCTCCCCCTCTCCCCGCCCCCCGCCCTCCTCGCCCTCCCCTCGCCGCGCTCTCCGCGTATTATACAGACTTTTCTTTAATCCTTTCTGGGCTGTTCGGCTCTCGTCCGCTAAGCCGATTTATTGCAGGGAGAAGGAGAGCTCACCCCTTCCTAACCTCCCCTCTCCCCTCACTCAAAACTGGCTTGCTGCCTCCAGCTTCTTAACCCTTACCCAGGTGACCCAGCAACCCGCCCTGGAAGCTATGCTCTGTCGGATCCCCCTTCCCCTAGCACCCCCGCATCCCCGGGATTACCAGCGCCCTCCCCACTACCCAGTCTGATGAAAGGAGGCAGCCTCCCTCCCGAGAGGGAAAGATGCCATCCTGGGAGCAGGGCAGGCAGGGTGTGGCTCTGGAGTTCTGGCCTTGCCAAAGATGAATGCCCTCATTGGGCAAGATTAAGGGGTTTCCGTGTTCTGAAACTTCCCCAATTACGGCTGCTCCTTCCCCCAGGGACCCACGGAAATGGGGTGTGTTCTGTCTTTTTTCCACATGCTGGGATCCAGCCAGGAATGGGTGAGGAACTGGTTGTTTCCTCCTGGCACAGACCAAGTTTCCACCTTTTTGCCAGACCTGACACCATTTTTCCCCACGTCTGAGAAGAACGGGTTTGGGACTTGTATGTTACCATTACTCTCCCACCAACACACACACACACGCACACACCATTGAGCCTCAGCCCTGGCGGTGGACCTTGAGGCCTTCTGTGAGGATGAAGCCTGGCGGTGAACCTTGAGGCCTCCTGTGAGGATGAAGCCTGGCGGTGGACCTTGAGGCCTCCTGTGAGGATGAAAGGGAGGGGTACTCTAGCCCTTGGGGTGGGCTGGGGATGTGGTTAGATGAGGAAGTTCAGGAGATAGAATTTCACCATTGGTAGGGACCCAAGAGATTGGCAAGGGCCAGAAAAACCAGGGGCAAAAGTGGCTCAGAACTCAGGTGGGGCCCTTTACCCAGGCCTTCTATGGAGAATCTCCAGCTTCCCTAGCTCTGGCAGGTTTCTGAGTCAGGCTGTTGCATTGTTTACCTACATGGGCAATGGGTACATAGCCAGTTCCATCTCCAGCAGCCCTCTGAGAGCAGTGTGGGGAGTAGGGTGGGCAATGGGTGGTTGCTGGGCTGCCTCTCGGTGAGCTTTGTGCAGAGATGTCCATGAAAGCAAACTGCTCCCTCCGCCTGCCCTCTGGAACCTCACCCCATGGCCTCCCAAGGCAGCCCTGTGGCTCAGCTTGCTCACCCGCCCCAGAAGCAGCGATTTGCATTTATGAAGATCTGAAAGCATACGTTCACCTGACAGGCTTTAGAATGATCCTCTCAGTAAAATAATAACAATGATCATAATAAACCCTTATAAATAGGTGTTTGATTACAGTTTGTCCCTACGTGGGAATTTTTTTTTTTTTTTTTTTTTTTTTTTTTTTTTTTTGTGAATCAGACTAATTGGTTGCCAGGTTGATTGGACTGCATATGGCTTGAACACTTGGAGTCTTAGGTACTTTCTTCTCCCTTGGGCTGCTGTTCTTTGCTCCCTCTCACGCGCATCCACCCAGATCTCCCCTTCTCCAGGCTGCTGAGGGTCAGCTTGAGGTCACCTCTCCCCCTCGCCTTCTTCTCAGGCTGCAGGGCGCAGTCCCTAACTGCTTCCTCCCCGGTCCTCCCCTCCCCGCTCTGACCCAAGAAAAAGTCAACAAACCCAAAAGTCTATCCCATGTTCTAAGCCCTCTGTGGAAGGGGCTCCCTGGCTGGGGAACAGCATCAAGCTGGAGGGTCCCTTGTGCTTGCCTGAGTTATGCAGGGAAATGCCAAGCATCGCTGTGTGGGCATTCCTACTCCCCGGCCCCAGCTGCAAATCAGCGTGCAGCCAGGCAGGTGGACAACATCAGTTCCTCAGGTAAACCCTGAATGGGTGAGGCTTCCTGGATGCATCCCTGCAGCCCAGCCCTTGGAAATGAGGGCCGGGGAGTAGGTGGGATTCCCGGGTCCCTTAGTGATGTTTCTTCCCAGCCATGGTTCACACCAGCTAGAAAAGAGAGCCAACAGAAGGAGCTAGAAAATGACATCTGAGGATATGCTAGTGAGGAGAAAAGCAGGCCTAACGGCCAAGGGAGGGTTGCTTCCTAGGACCAAGGATTGGGGCTGGTGTGTTGGAGATCTCCTTCAGCCCCAGGACTTCTGAATCACCCCAACTCTCTTTAACATCACCCTGTATTATAATTATTATTATGCCTAGCCAGTGCCTGGCACATGGTGGATCCTCAACAAATACCAGTTGGATGGATGCATGAATGAATGAATGAATGAGGGTAGGTCATTCCGTCTTATCCACTCTGTTCCTCAGCTCCTTGCACAAGCCTGGCACTTGGTAGGCGTCCTGTGGCAGTGAACCTCCTCGGAGCGCCAGGATCACGTGTTCTGACTGGTCCCATCAGAGAGGAGGTGTCTGCTCAGGTGCACGGTTGGTTTTGCCCAAAGGGGCCTGGTGGTGGTGTGCTTGTCTATAGCCATATGGTAACAAGAGTAGCAATACGGCTGCCTTCACAAGTCTCTCCGGGGAAGCCCACTCCTCCAGCTCCCGTTTCATGAGATACAGCTTTGAAGCCTTTCTTTTGTCCCAGAGAAAGACATCTCTGGAGCACTGAGAAGCACAGTTTGCAGAGGGCACAGGGTCGGGTGACTTAGCCAAAGGAAAAGGTCACCCGGGACAGCCCTGGGGCTTTTAATTTGCTTAACGTCCCTTGGCTCCTGTCTCCTAATAGATTGGCAGGGCCTCCACTTTGCAGTCCTGGCACTCAGACCCATGAGTCACGGCAGGACAGGCCTCTTCCTCTGACACTGAGCCTGAGTCCTTGCCTGTTTGCCCCCAGCCTCCCTCTGTCCATAGTGCTGAGCTAGGCTCTCCCAACAGAGGGCGCTACAGCACAAAGCAAATTTCTCCTCTGAGGACCCCAGGGAATAGCCCCAGAGGTCAAAGGGCCCCTCTGTGACCTCTAGTCCCCGCCCTCCCTGCCGGGAAAGGGAAGGGACGCAGCACATGACTGCCTCCCCAAACCTGGCTCCCAAGGGCGTGGGCTCTGCTGGTTTGCAGCAGGACACCCAGTGAGGTTCAATAATAAGAGTCTTAAGTACTTATGAAAGTGACTCTTTGTGCAGTGTGCTAGGAAAGTATTTAATGTATGTAAATTCATTGACACTGCGCAATAATGCATGAGGTAGGTCCCATCATTAGTCCTGTCTTACAGATAGCAAAGCTGAGGCTCAGAGAAGTTAAGCAACTTTCTCAATACAATACAGCTAAGGAATAGGACCAGATTCGAACCCAGAAAGAACTCCAGAACCAGAGTTCTCAAACGCCTTACCTAGACACAGTACACCACACACACACAGGCACACACACACAAGTGTACACACACACAGAGGAACACACACAAATGTACACAGACACGCACGAGTGTACACACATACAGGCACACACATAAGTGTCCACACACAAACACAGACACACACAAGTGTACACACACAAACACAGGCACACACAAGCATACACACATACACACAGGCACACACACATACCCACAAATGCCCACACACAGGCACACACACACAAATGTCCATACACACAGGCACACGTGTGTACACACACACACACGTGTCCACACACATACAGGAACACACACAAATGCCCACACACACACACAGGCGCACACACACACACGTCCACACACACACAAATGTCCACACATACCCAGGCACACACACAGACATATGTCCACACCCAAGTGTGCACACACACGTGTCCACACACATACAGGAACACACACACGCGGGTCCACACACACATAGAGGAACACACACACATACAGAAACACACACACACATGTCCACACACACATAAACAGGCACACATCTTGGAAGCCAGTATTTGGATATAAAAACTCATGAATCCAGTGTGTTCCACCTCTCTTACCTCATTTAATCCTCCTAGAAGTCCTCTGTGCCAACTTCGTTTATGTCTGGTTTACAGATAAGGAAACTGAGTCTCAGAGAAGTGAAAAGAATTACCCAAGGTGGCCAGGGTAGAGGATACTGTATTCTGGGGACAAGGATCTAGTGTGGGCTTCCCCAGGCAGGCCCTGCTCCAGAGGTCCACATTTCTCTCCCTCTCTATCCTCCTCTCTCCCTCTCTCATCAACCCACTGAGTCCTGCAGGCCTCCGGCTTTCCCATCCTGCACTCTGCCTCTCTGTGCTGGAATTAAACCTCCACCACCTTCCATCACAGTCAGGACAGAGCTTTTTATTGTTTGTTTAAATTAAATGCAACTGAAAGTGACACCTTAACACCAGTGACCCAAATTGATATGGAGTCAGCCACTTGGAATGAAGTCCAATGCTCCGTCCTTAATGAACCTCAGCCCCACCTGGGCTCTCAAGTTCCATCACATATTCCCGGTGGAAGATGTCAGCAGGTGTGCGTGGGAACCTCGAGCTGTGGGCTGGAGAAGGGGCCTCAGCATTATGGGACAGAGAAAAGGACTAGACCCAGGAGGACCATTGTTCCCCAAAATGGGTCCCACTGACCATTTGTTTTGCAGGTTTGTAATAAACATTTCTTGCAAAAGGGTTTCATGGCTAAATATATTCGAGAAATGCTACAAACTCAGCTGTTCTCCACTCAGAAGTTTATAGTTCACGTGAGCCTATGAAAGGTTAGGAGAAGTCCTGCAGTTTTTTTGTGTTTGGGTTGTCCGTGTTCGTTTTCCAGTTTTATTTGGTTGAAGTCCACACTTGTTTGGCCTCAGAACCCTCTTTCCATTAATACCTATTAACATCGTGTGAGCAAGAGCTCTGTGAATCACAGGGTGGAAAATGCCGCTCTGGCCCTGAACAAGCTTCCTGATCTCTTCCTCGATGTCATAGCAGTAGAAATAGTAATAATAATAACAACAACCATTGCCAATTGAT